TGAGGTCAGTTTGGGGTGTTTCTTTTTCTTTTTTTTAACATACCCTTATGAATGTGCAATTTAATTCCAAATTACATTTGGGTGGATGGAAATTGTAGTATTTGAGAGCCAGAAGTTGGCTGGCTTTCCTTATAGGATACTGTTTTGTGTCCAGTTCTGGGCTCTGCTGCTCAAAAAAGAGATCTCATAGAAGGAGTCCAACGGAAGGCTGTGAAGATGATATAGGGGCTTGAGCATCTCCTGTATGAGGAAAGGCTGAGTGACCTGGGTCTGTTCAGTCTGGGGAAGAGTAAGCTGAGAAGGGTTCTGATTAATGTTTGTAAATATCCACAGGGAGGTGGGACGCAAAGGGTTGAGGCCGGTCCCTTCTCCATGCTATGTAGCTGTAGGACAAAGAGTAATGGCCTAAAACTTGAACACAGAAAGTCTCATACTAACGTGCAAAAGAACTTATCTGCGGTAAAGATGATGAAGCTCTGAAACAGGCTGCCCAGAGAGGTTGTAGAGTCTCCTATGAAAGTACTCAAGACCTGGCTGGACACCTACCGATGTGACATACTGTAGGGTACCTGCTTCAGCAGTGGGACTGGACTCAATGATTTCTTGAGGTCCCTTCCAACCCCTGTGACACTGTGATGTTTTTAACTTCACATCATCTATCAATGTATGGTTTTCAAAAAAAAAAAGCAGGAAGAATTAAGCAGTGAAATAAACAGCTGACAATTTCCCACGTGACACCTGATGTGGAAACCCAGATGACCGCTGCAGTCTGTCTGAAGCTCATTGGAATAGATGAATGAAGGCAGCAGCATCCATTCCTTTCCTCACTGCCTCCCACAGGCTGATCTCCTTTTCCCCTTTAAGAGTCTGATATGCATTTCAGAGCCTGCTCAGCAAAGCAGTGGTAGCAGGCAGAACCGGACTTCTCTTAGCAATTGTTTTTGTCCCTTTTCCTCTTCCGCCTTCTCCAAGGGACAGTCTCTCTGAGATGCAAGGAAGAGCATATTTTATGATTAAAATACAAATTTGACATTTTCCTTTCTTTGATATGTTAGTAGTAAGAAAATAACTTTTGCTTTCATGGTTATTAGGTAATTCTTTTCTCTCTTTTTCTATCAACGCCCTTATACTGGTATATGTGCTTGTTGAAAGCAAAACAGAACTTTCGCAGCCACACGAGGGAGCTGGAATGCATGCTGGCAGCAGCACAGGTGCAGTGAGTACACACAGGACAGTTTTTCACTCTGGGCTTTCCAGTTCCAATCACACACAAAAAAATCTGTACTGGGAGAGACAGAGCACCTCTCATATAGTTTGTTTTAGCATCCTGAAAGCAGCTGTTTCTTTGCTCATTAAAGAATTCCATTTCTATATTTAGTAATACCTACTGCTCTTCTGTCTTCCTTTGGTCTATACTGAGTGTAGCAGTATAGAAAAGGGTATTTCTTGAATTCCTTTGAGTCTCCTTCAAGCCTACTCACTGTCTTCTCTCAGAAGCCACATGTTGTTCAAAGTGAGTTAGACTGTGAAAACAAACTGAAGTTTCTGTGCTAATGTGACTTTGAAATGTCTTCTTCTTTTTTTTTTTTTTTTTTTTAAGCATTCTCAGCGTGAGGACCATATGAGTGTGGGCGCTGAAGATGAATGCTGCTGCATAAATCTCAAATCATTTTTTCTGCAGTTTATGAAATGCTTTCTTTGCAGTGCTTGGACTCTCCGAAGTTTCTTTTGCATAAGCAACAGAGGTGCATCTGAGTGTCTCCACAGGCAGTTCTGCTAACCCTCCTCAGGTCTGGGAACCTTCCTTCCACCCCCAGATACAGTTATTGTGTCAGCAAGGGAGGAAGCACTATAGGATTACATCCTCTTTCAATAAGTTGGCAACAAATATTTCACCCAGCAGGGGAGAAGCTGTGCTAATGAGAGCCTTCTTGTTTCTTGAATGTAGCAACTCTTTAAATCCCTGGCAACTCGGACATTCTTAGAAGTTGAGAAGTGCAGTTTTAGCACTTTCATACTTAAACAAAGTAAGCATATTGTATTCACTAGATATAGAATGTACCTTAGGTAAGGAATTGTTAGCAACTGTTCTTACACCTAACAAATGGATAGAATTGCAAGAAATAAAGATCCTGTCACTGTAGTGCTGAGTTGTTGTTAAGTAGTTAGCTTTAGATGTGTTGTATCCCTACATTATTTGCTTTGAGAGAGATGAGTCCTCACTGAATTGGAGAATAAAGAAATGCAGTTTGACTTCTGTTTGATATATATAAATAAGACCTAAATTAACTCTAATATTTCCTACCTGCTAGTTAAAATGTGTGAAACCTGTTGTCATGGCAGTTTGTTGTATCTCTTGGCTTTGTAGTCCCTGAAAAGTGCCAGTTGGTTCATGTTTGTAAGCAGCACTGACTGAGTGGCAAGGTATTCTTACTCTGCTAATGTGTATTCCACAGGCTAGTCCTTCTGCCATGGAAGCTGAGGAAAAAATGGAATGCATCCAGGAATTTCCAGAACACTATAAAGTTATTTTGGATAGACTGAATGAACAACGTGAGCAGGACCAGTTCACAGACATCACTCTAATTGTGGATGGTATGTATGGGCATGTGGACCAGTTGGCATACAAAGAACTCTGATAGCTGCTGTGATGCTCTTGTGGTTTGTCGTGGGTCAGCTGTCAAACTGGGCTGCTAAGAAATTCTTGCTATTTGTAATGGGCTGCAAGTTGCTTACAGATTTTCTTTTAAAGTCGTAGGGTGAACAGAGTCTCCAGCAGTCATTAGTAATTGTGCTTCTGCTTTTCCAGATGAGTGACTGAATATTTTTAGATAGAATTCCACTTTGTAACTGCTGTACTGTATTTAATGTTATTTAAGTGTTTTCTAAAATATCCTAAAAATATTTTTCTCTAGCTTAAGCTGAGTGTTTGCATGCAGAGAACTTGTACAAATACTGTTTAAAAACAGCTTGAAGTAAGATTGCTTCCTTGCTTCTATAGTATTTGCATACTGTTTTTAATGTGTAGCTAAAATAAGGTAGAAGAACTCACTTTCCATTTTTTGTGTGTCCTGGAGACGTAAGTATTAGTCTAAAGAGAAGATGGAGATGTAAGTGCTTATTAGCCCATCAGAAACGGTGGTGTCTAATAGATAGCCTGAGATTCTTTTTACACTAAACATTTCTTATAATAGATGAGCACTTCAAGGAAGAAAGCCAGTATCCACCAGGACAGCCTCAGCTAAAGAAATACTGCCTGATCCTTGGAAGGGTAGCCATAGCTCACTTGAAGGAAAAGGGTCGTATAAAACCTGTCTTAGAAAATAAAAAGCAAATGTAGAGAAGATTACTCTTCTGCAGTTGCCACATTTTCACTGCCAGCTCTTGAACAAAACTTAGCAAAAATGTTTGTGTGTGTCCTAGTATTATAAAAGTCCTGTATATTGGGCTCAGAGCTGTTTTCTTATACATACGTACAGTTCTAATTTATAGTGCATTTCTTATCTCTATCCCATTAATCATTATAAGTGTTTGTGCCTGTGCCATCGTGATACAGCGATGGGAAGTACACAGCCTGGAAAACAGAGCAGAACTCCTTCTGTACTTCAGCTGTGCTAACGCTAGTTGAAGTGGTGATAAAATTAGATCAGTGTATAAGAGTGGTAAAAAAGCACAGCAAACTTGGATAAAGTCTGAGAGCTGAGCCCAAGACACACATGAAAAAAGTTTTCACAGGGGATTTGCCTTAAATATTTGAAAAGAGAAACTCTGGAGTAAAAAAGTACTCCAGATGATTGAATTGCAGAACTTTAGCAAAGCCAGCCCCGTGACATCAGCAAGCACGTGCATGAAATAAGAGAGGCCAACTGCAGTAGTATCCCATGTTACAAGGAGACACATTAAATCATAGAACCATAGAATCTTTTGAGTTGGAAGGGACCCTTAAAGGTCATCTAGTCCCACTCCCCTGCAATAAACAGGGTCATCCACAGCTAGATCAGGTTGCTCCGAGCCCCATGCAGGCTGACCCTGAATATCTCCAAGGACTTGGCTTCCACCTCTCTGGCAACCTGTTCCAGTGCCTTGTCACCCTTATTGTAATAACATTCTTCCTCATATCCAATCTAAATCTCCCTTCTTTCTGTATCCATTATGTCTTGTCCTGTCACAGCAGACCTTGCTAATGGGTCTGCACCCTTCCTACATAATAGCCCCTCTTTAGATACTGAAAAGCCATTCTCAAGACTCCCTGGAGCCTTCTCTTCTCCAGGCTGAACAGCCCCAGCTCTCTCAGCCAATCCTCATAGCAGAGGTGTTTCATCTCTTGGATCATTTTTGTGGCCCTCCTCTGGATGCGCTCTCAGGTCCACATATGTCCTGTACTGAGAATTCTGCATCTGGACACAGCACTCCAGGTGAGGAATCATCAATGTAGAGCAGAGAGGCAGGATCACTGTCCTCAACCTGCTGACCACATTTGATGCAGACCAGGATACGGTTGGCTTCTGGGCTGCAAGGGCGCATTGCTGGCTCATGTCCAACTTCCCATGTACTGGAACCCCAAGATCCTTTTTAGCAGGGCTGTGTTCCATTCCCCAGCTTGTACTTGTAGTGGAGGTTGCCATGACCCAGGTGCAAGACCTTGCACTTAGATTTACTGAACATCATGAGGCTCACTTAGGCACACTGCTCAGCCTGTCTGGGTCCCTCTGGATAGCATCCCGTTTGTCAGGCATATTACTGCACCCCGTAGCTTGGTGTCGTCAGCAAACTTACTGGGAACGTACTCAGTTTCCCTATTGACGAAGATATTTAAAAGCATCGGTCCCAATACTGACCTCTGAGGAGCACTGCTTGTCACTGATCTCCATCCAGACGTTGAGCCACTGACCAGCACTCTCTGGTAGTGCCAGCCATCTCTGCTGCAGCTAGTTCTTTGTTTATTGAACAGTCCACCCATCAAATCCGTATCTTTGCAACTTCAAGAGAAGAATGTTAAGGGTGACTATGTCAAAAACCTTCCCTTGTCTGCTGATGCAGATGGCTGTATGTTGCTAGGGCAGATTTGTAAAATAGGTTTTACACCTGCTTTCTTTTGTTCATCTGCACTTACTCTGCAGTATAAGTTAGGAAGGTGTTATCTTATATTTTTGTCTCTCTTGGCAGGCCACCATTTCAAAGCTCATAAGGCTGTTCTTGCTGCCTGTAGCCAGTTCTTCTACAGATTCTTCCAAGATTTCACTCAGGAGCCCTTGGTGGAGATTGAAGGTAACCTGATTCGTGTAGATAAAAGCTTTCAGCATTGTGTACTGGAGCTGGTAATGAATGTAGTATCCTTAATAAAGGTGACGTGCATGCCTGATGATATCACTTAATTTTTAACATCTCAGCTCATGAGTTATTCTGAAGTACATGTTGCCACTGGAAGAAGCTTCCCTTGAAATACAATTATGAAAATAATGAACAGTTACAAATTAAATATTTTGGAAGGGAGAGTGAGAGATTATGAGTTGTTGAATTTTTTTTTTCCAATATGCACCTAATGAGATCTCAGTCCTTGTAATTTTTTAGGACTAGCAGTCTGACTTTTTCCTTGATAAAAGCCATTCTGTTCATGCAGAAAAGGCTCCCGATGATGGCTAGTGGCAGATGCCGCAGCTGGTGTGCAAAAACAGGACAAACTTGGGGCAATACTTCCTTTTTAGATGGGGAGTGATTTCATGGAGCTGTCACTATATTTCTAGTAACCTGTTGATCGGAAGTCTTCTGAAATCGAGGTTATATTTTTCTATATGAGTGTATACATTTAATTGCTCTGTATAAAGAGCTCTTTGTTCACATCATTTTTCCCATACTCTTACCTTTGTCATGGCACTATTCTGTAGTTGTTTCAAATTTCCACGTTTCTGTACCAGACTTGTTATTCCAACATGAGCCTTTTAAGGGTTTCAGCTTAAGAAACTGATATCTTAAATATTGTGAGCAAAATTCTGAGCAGGCAAGCATGCAAGATTCATGAGATAGAGGCTTTGGTAATTTGTTTTTCTTTTTTCTCAACAGGTGTAAGCAACATGGCATTTCGTCACCTAATAGAATTCACCTATACAGCAAAACTAATGGTCCAAGGTGAGGAAGAAGCAAATGACGTTTGGAAAGCAGCTGAATATCTACAGATGTTAGAAGCAATCAAAGCTCTTGAAATCAGGTAAATATGTAAGCCTCTTTCTCTTACGAACACTGAAATGTAGTCTTAAGAATCTTCTTACTAGAGCCATCTGCTAGTATTTTGAAGTGCTGTTCCTTATGAGGGAACCTTCTAATCTTGTGTGGGGCCCCACCCTCTTCTATTACAACAATTGGGTCAGAATTGTGTTGTATATCTAGCTTTGCTTAGTCTGCCCACGTCACTGCATGGTACCATGTATCAGTCTCTCACAGATTTCTGGATAATTCTCAGGCTGGTGATTTCCTCACACAACTTGGCCACTTCCTCTGAAAGTTCATCGAGCTGGGCACACTTGCAGCCGTGACATTTCCTTCCCTCAGGCTCTAGAAGGACTCTGGATTCTGGAGTTTGCCACAGCTGGAAGTCTGTGCAGCTCTGTCTTTCCTTGGAGCTCTGTCTGTGTCCATGCGTCAGCCCAGCGAAGCTGTGGCCCTCCAGCCTGTGCTTCTGCCTGAGCTCAACCACTGTGGCAGGTGGTCACCACGTTTGTTTCAACGGAGCGCAGCTTCCTGCTGCTCTCAGAAGAGACAGGGAGCGGGCTGCCTGCTGGGCTGTGGACGCACTTCCTGCGTGAACTGCCATGCAAACTGCTTTGCCCTGTTTGTCAGGTCTGGTAGCCATGCTTCTTACTGCTTGTCCTTGGGTCTCCTCAATTTCAGGGTCCTCCTTCTCACACCATGATCCCCTGCTCTACTGCAGAACACACCTGTACTGGAGCTGACTGCCTCAGAAAATGAAGTCCAGGATACATTTGGCCTTCTGGGCTGCAAGTGCACACTGCTGGGTCATGTCCAGCTTTTTGTCCACCAAGTCCTCCTCTGCAGGGCTGCTCGCTATGAGTTCTTGGTTCATGATCCTGGAGCTCCTGCAGTAATATGCAAAAAATTACTTTCTTTTTCTTCTCCTACCTAGGCTTCAGAAATCCATGATAGATTGTAAGTTTATGTGTTCTGTATTCCTTTATTCGAATATTAGAGGTATAATTTGATAAGCTGTATCCTGCATTAAGTCATTAGCCATGTGTTTCTGACACATGACATGCAGAGATACTGGAGGAAGCCTTATCTATTACTAGAAAAACTAAAAGCTATAGGGACTGAATTTCATGAAAGGATTCATCAGACTGCAAAGGAAGGTAAAAATGTTGGATTAATCTTATCAGTCTGATTTGAGATAATATCTGACTATTTTCGGATCTGAAAATCTGGAAGTAAAGCTTCTGCACCCTGGGTAATCTTCAAAGCCAGCCTTGGAAACAGTCTCACTCAGCTCTGCCTGAGGTTGGCATGGGATAGTGTCCCTGACGTCTTGGAGAAAGAATGCTGTGTGTGTGTGATGCAGGGACGAGGGGAACAGATCTGGGCAGTTACTTTAAGCCCAGAAAATTAAATAGAATATTCTTTCTGCATCTCACTGCCTTCTCCATTTTTTTCCCTCTTCTGTTACCTTGTGTTCTTTCCTGAAGTGCAAGATTTTACAATAATCGTTGTGTGGAGTCACAGTTTTAGTGTTTTCTAATTTTAAAGTGCCACAAGCAGTAGCATACTCTCCAGAGCTTAAAACATTGATAACACAGAAAGCACTTGAATCTTATTTCTGAGTAGAATAAAGTACAAGATTTGACAAGTTTCTCTGATAACTTATGCCATTATGCTAACTGGTCTTTCTTACTGATGTGTTTTGTAGCTTTTAAGCAGAGCTCTGTAATATGTAAAAGGCTTTACAACACTAACCTTCTATTTTGCAGCTCTGAGGAATACAGAATAAGCAGAAAATTGTTATAGCTGTTATATGGTCATTCACCGTTCAGCTTCATTGAGAAGCACCTAGAAAGTGTTTAATGCAGAAGCTTGGTGTCGGGCAGGAACTTTTATGTAAGCGCTCATAGAATCACAAGGTTGCAAAGGACCTCCAAGATGATCCATTCCAACCATCCTCCCATTACCATGCTACCACAAGCACTCAACCATATCTCGCAGCTCCTCATTCAGGCACCACGTGAATGCTGCCAGGGACGGCAACTCTACCACCTCCCTGGACAGCCATTCCAGTGCCTGACCACTCTCTGAGAGAAAAAGTTTTGTGGATCTTAACCGTGTTGACACATCTGTTTTACAGAAACAAAGAAAATTCATCAGCCTTAGAATCAAATCAAACAGAAGGTAAAACTAAACCGAAAAAGAGGAAGATAGCTGAAACATCTAATGTTATCACAGAATCGCTGCCATCTGCAGAATCAGAGCCTGTTGAAATTGAAGTTGAGATTGCTGAGGGAGCAATTGAAGTGGAAGAAGACAGCATTGAGACACTTGAGGAAGTAGCTTCTGCAGAGCAGTCTATAAAGTACATACAGACAACGGGTACATCCGATGAATCTGCTTTGGCTCTTCTGGCAGATATCACTAGCAAGTATCGTCAGGGAGAGCGAAAATGCCAGATCCAAGAAAAAGTTGACAATGCAGCTGATCCTTCATGCAAACAGGTAGAAGGTATTGAAATTGTGGAACTTCAACTGTCACACATGAACAATTTATTCCACTGTGAGAAATGTAACCGTTCATTTAAATTGTTTTACCATTTTAAGGAACACATGAAAACACACTCTACTGAGAGTTACAAGTGTGACATATGCAATAAAAGGTACCTACGAGAGAATGCTCTGAAACAGCACCTCACCTGTTACCACCTTGAAGAAGGTGGTGCCCCCAAGAAGCAAAGACCTGGCAAAAAAATACATATATGCCAGTACTGTGATAAACAGTTTGACCACTTTGGGCATTTTAAAGAGCACCTCCGGAAACACACAGGTAAGAGCATGTACTTGTGGCTTCAGCTGTGGCACTTCGGGTTTTTGCATATTTTGAGGAAGCAGAGAATATGATGAAGAGAGCATGTGAGTGCTAGAAATACTGGGCTTCTAGGTAACACTGTAATTGAAGAATTGTAGAAGTTATGATTCTGTGCTGATGGTTTTTTCCTGCTGATATAAACTGAGAAATTGAGATTTTTTTGATTATTAAAAATACACACCTAAAGCAGAAAGACTTATTGAAGCTCCTGAAGTGCATTAAAAACTGTTATTCATGATTTTGTGAGGCATGTTTTCTTCTTTAGAAGTACTAAACTGAGTAGCTATTTCTATTTTTACAATTCTACTGATATGTTCTTCTGCTCAAACAGTATATGAGCTTTGAGCGTATCAGTGAAATATCCTCCCATTGCAGTATTGTCCTCACTCTTGTCATCTACAAGTAGATTTTATTTGTTAATTAACAGCAAAACATTTCTACTGACTGCAGTAGACTTCTGCTATTGTAAAGTCTGTCTTTTGGAAATCTGAATAGTGTTTTCTCCCTGCAGGATGACTCATGCTTCTTTCTTCCTTATACCGTGAGAGATTAACATGCTCCATCTTCATCCCATTGAACTATCTGTCTGAATGGATATTAAGCATTATGTAGATAACTTTTTGAGTGTGAGCTATCTGACCTTCCAGATGATTTTGTTTAATATGTCAGTAAGAATTTGATGGAGGGCAGCAGCTCTATTTCCTCACAGTTTGTTGTTATAGCCTTTTAATTGGAACTTCTTCGAATTTGTGTATGGGACACCTGAATCTTATCTATGACACTATATTTAGTCTATTCTATAACCTTCTATTCCCTTCTATTTCTATTTGAAATTTGCTTTTGTAGAAAGTCCTTGGAAAATCCTGATTATCTATAAAGTAGGGAGTGTTTCTTCACTATGACTGAACTTACTGCAGGCTATATGACACGGGTATTTTCAGACAAAAGTTTGTGGCAGATTAACAGCAAGTTAGGTATCTCTTTCATGTGGTAGCTGATGTGGCAGGATTTTGGGACAAAGCAACTCAGCAGAGAATTCAGCAGAGAACTCAAGCAATACAGAGAACTATCGATATTTATTGGTACCACTATAATATAGAATTTAATTGCTTCTAATTTAATGTTTTGGAAGCGTTGCCCTTTAAATCACACCTTATTATACTTATTATACTTATTATTATTATTATTATTATTATTATTATTATTATTATTATTATTATTATACTTAACTGTGGTCTCCTAAGGTTAGTGGGAAAAATCTCACTGACCCAGAGGCATGTGTAGAATTTGTTGAATGCTATGTAAAATGAAGTGTTCAGGGAGAAAATGTCTTGTAATCTATCTCATCCTGGTGCTTTTTGAATTGCAGCACCAGCAATAACATTAAGGTAGCAGATGCAGAAGAAATAGACTGTTTATTAATTTTGTTAGTTCTTTTTAATGTTCTTTACTGTTTTTTGTCTCAGTAAAAGAAAGTAGAAAAGACAGCCACAGTGCTTCGTGATTCTCTCCAACACATATGTACACTGCCTGAAGGATTTTCTTTAAAAAAAACTTCTATGGAATTTATGAAGTGAAGATGGAAGTGGAGGAGTTGCACATGCTGTTCCACCATCCCTCTGGGTTGTGGTGCTGACTTACACTGTGCAGTCACTCGCCTTCTTTTAGCCCTTGGATATTGGCACTGTTATCATTGAATTGTCACTCTTGGGTGCATTTGTCAGAATGCGTTGGAAATTACTACAGAATTTTAGTAGTAGAATAAGTCTGCCCCTGCTGGGCAGTGGCTTGCCACAAGGAACTGTTTGAATGTGGCCAGATCGCAGACCAAGTGTAATTCTGTGCTGGGAGTTCTGTGCTGTTCTTGTCATCTTGGCTTATCCGTGTGTAGCTGCAAGAGCACAGTCTGTGATTTTTGATGTGGCAGACTGATGGCATTTCAGCATGCTCGGCATTACCTATGCAGTACACTCTGAAAGCATTGCCTTTTGTAATGGATACGGGAAAATTCACACCTTTTAACTTTTTCTGTGGCCCCAGCTGTGTGAGCTAGAATTATTGGCTACTTGTGGATTTCTGTTGAAAAGCTACATAGGCATTTCTGTGTATCTTTATTTCCAAAGGTACAGATTTATTGGCTTTCCATCCCAGTCAGTGTTGACTGTCTTCCTGAAACTGCAGGCTTTTAAACTTTATTTAGCTAACTTAGATATTTGCATTGTTCACTGAAATGCTACAGCCTCGTTAACTAGTTTTTTTCTGTAGTTACCTAGATGCCATCTTAATTGTCAGACATTGAGAAGAAACATACTGTTCCTAATTTTTAATGCTTTCATTTCCTTGAACTTCACTGTGTTTGTGCATGATGAAATCAGTAAGCAGACAGCACTTGTTCTTTGTTACTACTTGATGACAGTCATAGTGATATGCTGCGTTTGTTGGAAAAGAGCAAACTGGACCTGTTTTCAGCTTTCCCTGCTGCTTTTAGCTGGCTTAACGGTGGAAAACACGCCTGGTTATTGATACCAAGTTGGAAACAAAGTAACCAAAGAGAAAGGGATTTTTTATCTTGCTTGTTCCCCTATATGTCCCCCTCTGATTTCTGTTGGCCTTTTTTTTCCTTTTTTTTTTTTTTTTAATGCCGATACATTGTTACTTCATGACTAATCTCTGTAGGCTCCAGCATGAGCTGTGACTGTTCTCGAAAATAAAACTTCGTGTTTTTTCTTTTTTTATAATTCCTTTAGTATGTCGCTTTGTATAATTTCTAACATTAAGTCTTCACCTGTAAGTATTGGTGAAAAGACAGAAATAGCTGCTATTTCATTAAGAGATTTTGACAGAAAAGCAGTCTTTCATACAGACCTAAAATATGCTTCAAATAGCACCAGCAGTTATGTTGGGTTGTCTTTTTCTAGATGAGACTCACAATTTTACATTAGGCTTTTGCCCTGTTATTTACATGAGTAAAGTTTACATGGAATGTCTTTCTCTTGTTCTTTAGAATAGTCCAGCTGGCCAAGTCTTTATGGCATATTTATCAACTTCTGCGAAAGTGAGTGGAGAAGGGAAAGCTGACAGAAGACTGGTTGTTTTTGTGCACTTATAAATCCTTGTGTCTGTATTTATAGGTGAAAAACCATTTGAATGTCCAAACTGCCATGAACGTTTTGCTAGGAATAGTACACTCAAATGTCACTTGACGGCCTGTCAGTCTGGAGCTGGAGCTAAAAAGGGAAGGAAGAAGCTATATGAGTGTCAGGTGGGTAATGAGGGTTGCAGAGTCATGAGGCTGGACACCTCCAACCTGTACTGGGAGTGTGGGCATACTAAGCAGGGAAGGCAACGGGAGTAGGCTTATGTGAACAAGGGCTGCTTTTATTACAATAAGTGTAAGAATCAGTTCAACCACAACATGCAGATAAATTCTGATATCTACATAGTTCCATTCATATTATTTTTGTGTTATTTCTGCAACCTTTTCAGGGTTCTTCATACACTGAACTAGCCCTTTTCTGGTTGTGTGCATGCTTCACTGAAGTCCAAAATACAAAGTACTATCTGATTTCCTATTTTATTATTCTTCTGTTTGATACTCAATGTATTGACTTTATCTGTAAAGTCATTCCATCTTACGATGACAATCCATAGTGTCTTATAAGCAAATATAAATGCTGTAGATTGATATACTCATTTCTGCAATGTCTTTTTGTATCATTTTCAGGCTACTCATCTCTGTGCCACCTGAAGGGAAGGAAGTGTGCTCAAAATAATGTGTCTGCAGTCTAAACAATACTTGTAGCTAGGCAGGACTAACATGGATATAGTTTTAAGAGTTTTTCATCTACAGAGATATTTTTTTGAAATGACAAAAATCAGGAGTTTAATCTAGCTACTTAAATTTCACAATGCTGTGATCAGAATTAGCTAGAAGTCCTGTATCTAGAACTTCCCTTATAAGACTTCCTGCCTGTAATTCTAGCACCAGACACTTAGTGGGACATGCTTCTTTATCTAAATTTCACATAGAGTTGAAATAAGCGAAATTTCAAGTGCTGTACTGACTGATAAATTTGGTAGCAGGTCAAAATGACACACTTTTTCTTAATAATAGCTACTCTGTTGATCTGAAGCTAACTTCTCAGCTTTTACCTTTGACATGTGTTGAAGTTTTTTTAATCTATGTCTCAGGAAGCTACACTGCGTGAAGCCATGGACTGAAGTAGGCATTATACTCTGCCATATTCCTGTTGGCGTCGTTATACTCACTGTGTCTTTTGTTTCAGGTTTGTAACAGCGTGTTTAACAGCTGGGATCAGTTTAAAGATCACTTGGTAATCCACACTGGCGACAAACCCAACCACTGCACCTTATGTGATTTGTGGTTTATGCAAGGCAGTGAGCTGAGAAGGCATCTAAAAGACACGCATAATATTTCAGAACGACTAGTGACAGAAGAGGTTCTTCCAGTGGAAGCTATGGAAGGTGAACCAGTAACATCAATGACTATAATAGAACAAGTGGAGCAAGTTCATGTCCTGCCAGTAATTCAGGTACAAGTGGATCCTGCTCAGGTAACTGTGGAACAGATGCACCAGGATCTCATACAGGACAATCAAGTGAAAGGCACACAGGTGGATGAACTGCAAGAACAGGTGCAAATTAGTTACCTGGAAGTGGAGCACATTCAAACTGAACAAGGTGCTGAAGTTCACGTGGAGCAGTTGCATGTTGAGCATGTTAATCAAATACAGATGGAAGAAGTACAGGCAGAACTCACAGATGGCACTGACTTTGAACAAGTAGAATATGAGAGAGTTGACCAAGGAGATCCAGGAGAAAAGAAACCTATTTGTATAGGTGATGCAGGTAAGGAAGTTCATGAACAGGCTGAAGACTTAAAAACTCAACAGTTAGTGGATATAAAGAATGAAGAGGTGGACAACTAGGACAATTAACCACACTGTGCAGGTTTAGGATTAAAATACCAAATTTTTTTTTGTTGTTAACTTTTACGTTGATTTTTGAACTGTCAGTGGTCGTCTTTCAAATATGCTGTCCTTTGGAAGCTGGACAAGTGGACCAAAGTTAGCTTTCTTCACATACAAAAGAATTTCTGTCATACATTAAAAATAAATGTCATTCACGTGATAGAACAGAAACTACCACAGAAATGGGCAGCTTTGCAAGAATTTTAATAATGAATAGCTTGTATTACTGTTATACCATTGCTGGTTATATGTAAGAATAACTTCTTTTCTTCTTGGCGTAGAAACAAACTGTTGTTATAGATTTGCAGGGTGTCTGTGACAGAATAATTAGTAAAATCTGGTGGCTTCTCATATAAACAATCCATTGGGTATCCGTGAATTTTCTGGGCAGACTGCTTGCCATCCACCTGCAGTGCTGTATCTAGCAGCAGTCCCTGCGTTTCTTTATATCAAGCTGGAACTTCTGGACTTTCATTCTGGGCAAAAACCATTTTTGCTGGAGATCTCGGAGCACAAAAATTCTGTGCCTTTTCAACACTGACTGGTGGAATTCCTACAAAGCTCCTGAAGTGTTCAGGAACCTAGTTCAGTAAAAGGCAATGTAGGTAATGTTATAGTGCTTTATATTTTTGCTTGAAATTGTCATCTACTGATTTTTTTGCATTAAACTTACTATGAGGAGTGTTGGGGGAAGAACCAAATAACATGGGGATAATAGAACACTCTAAAAGGGACACATTAAAACAGGAAGAGCTCTTTACAGACTGTGTTAAACATGAGCTGGAGGAAATCTACCGGTAGACTTTTATAAATACTCATTTTTGAAAGTGAATATGTTTAAACAAATACAGAGAAGACTTGTCTATATGGTATCGGATTCTTGGTTGCTTGTTTTTTTCGAAATGAAGTTCTGACACTTGACACAAAGACATTGTGCTAAAAATAAAAAGCCATAGGTATGAGTGCTAAACTGGGGATCGAAAAGAAGAAGTATAAGCATTTTACTTAATATTACACAATAAAACAATACCAACCATGAAATGTTGCACTATTTATCTCATCTGCTAAAGCAGGAACAGTGGAGTGACTGGCAATTACGGTGTCAGATCTCAGTATTAACAATCAATCTCTTTATTGTAATGGGCTCTTAATTTAATATTAAAAGTTATGTTTGTTTAGAAAGTACTTGTCTAGATCTGTGTTCAGCTGTGTTAAGGACTCCTAATGCTCAATTACTGCCTTGAGAGTAGAGTTCTATGCTTCTGAAGAACTTTCTTTACAAAGTGAAGAGCTTTCAAAGGAAGTTCCCTAATGCACTTAGTAATCCTGTAGCTCTTAGTTAAAATCAAGCTTTTCAATTCTGTCTTCTCCAAAGGCAGGATTATTTCCTGAAATTTGTGCTTTTATTTAGTGTCATTCAGAATGATTGTTGTGTTTTATCTTATCCATTGAGAAACTGTTGCAAAAACAAACATGGATCTCAATTAAAATTCCCAACAATTTGATTAACGTAACTTGCATTTCTGTCTTGGCTTGTGGAGTAAACAGCTGAATTCATGCAAAATAACACTGATCAGAATGAAGCAGTACTGTCTGGAAAAGAGGGAATGAACAGAAATGTATGAGGTGTGGCTGGATTTTACAGTGTGAATGTGAAAACAGGCTGGGGTTATGAGTAGAATTCTGGATTTATTTACAATATCCACTAAAAGCCAAAACTACCTGTGAAAGTAGGACAGGGAGAGGAAAAGGACAGATGGATAATTTGAGAGCTGCTGAATTGTTTAGACACCATGAGAAAGGATTAGCTGCTGTTTCGGAGAGCAGTTTTCCCAAGCTGAAGAAAATTTAATCGGCAGGTTCGTGGGGGTAAAGTTTGATGTCATTTCTGTGGAGAAAAGTCACCGGAGCAGCGTTTTACAGCCTCAGCCCTGGTTTGCCTGCCTGAGCGGAACTTCCAGACAGCCAATTGTGCAGGATATGGAACTGAGATTCTGGTTTTTCTTATAATGCCAAATTTTTGATATTGCATTTATTAAAAAAAATGTTTTGTTTTGTTTTTTCTCTGAGGAAGCGGTTTGTACCACCGAGGGCTGAACCGGCAGGCTCCGCTACGGCTCCCCGGCGCAGCGAGAGGCGTCCCGTGCCCCTCCGCGGCTGCCTCACAGCGAGCGGCGGGCGGGAGGCGGGCAAATGGCGGGCGCCTGACGGGAGGAAATGGCGGCGGTACCCGGCGCGGGCGCGCGGTGCCCGGGGTCGGCGGTCGGGGCTGTGGGCTCTCGGGACGGCCACGCAGCGTCCCCGGCGCGGGGGCAGCCCTGTGAGGACGCACCGCCACCGTGCCCTCGCTGGTGCCCTGCTTCAGCGGTACGGCCGCGCGTTGCCCGCACCCGGCGGGGAGCGGAGCTGCCGGACGAGCCGTGGTGCGCCGGCGCTCATCGCACCTGCAGCCGCGGTGCTCTCTGTCCAAGAAATCCCGCGTTGTGTTGAACGTCAGCGCGTTGCCTGGAAGATGTGATGTGCGGCAGCGTGCGCCGGGTGCGGGTACTGCCTGTTCCGCAGTGCGTCTGCTCGTACGGTGGCAGAGCGGCTGGCCCGGTGATGCCCGTGACGGCTGGTTGCTATGAAACTTACACCTCCTGTTTACTTCCGTGGGAGTTACCACAGATACAAAGAGCACAACAGTGCTGTTTGATAGAGCAAATTCTCAGCTACATAACACTGTTTTTTAAACAGTCACCACCAGGAGCTGTGCGTTTTCACCAGCTGTGAACAAGAGCTGCATGGCACGCTCGAAACAGCCTGCAGCAGTGGAGCTGACCCGCTGAAATGCACCACCCGCCGCCTCACTGTGCTCACATCCCCCGTTTGGTCTCCATGAGCATTCAGCGAGTGTCAGTGCACGTCGGGGTGCTGTTCTTTCCACAGTGGCACACCTTTGCTCCATGCACACCTCTGTGTGAGACGCCATTTTCTCAGCGCCCTTCTGTTGCTGTCTGCAACGCGACAACAAAACGTAAGGGGATATTGGTGGGAAGGCCGAGCCTCTACAGCCGTACCAGCAACATCTGCCTCTAGTGGTGTGGGCCGACATTATGAAATGGGGCATTACTTTCGGAGCAGCCTTTGTGGTTTTGGGACTGCCGCCACTACGGGTGTGGGCTGGTGCTGAAGCTGGCTCCCGAGGAATAGATTTGCTGACATTATATGGCTGTGTGCCTGGATTGCCCCTTCCACAGCTGACATAAATATGCTTGTTTTCAGGGAGAGAAGATATGTGTGTATAAAAAAGAAAACAATAAAAGCAAATATCATTCTATCAAAATGGTTCCATGTATCTTTATTCCTACTACATCTCTGCTAATAACAACCTTTTTTCTGTGTATTTTGCCACTTCTTAAACTTTTTTTTTTCTTTGCCCTGTGTAATGTTTTCTCAGACCTAAAGCAATTCCACAGGGAGAGTAATCCCACTGCTGTCAGTTAGAATAGTTTTGTTCCATTTACCTTTCCTGATCATTAAATGTTATCATCCATCCTCAAGTGTTTTTAATTCATCTGATGTCTCTTTTCTAACCTGCAGTATCACATGTGCCCCAAATAATCCTACATGTGCTGACTTTTGCCCTTCTTACAGTTACCTTTGAGATTACTGCTTTAAAAATTGCAGCTTTTGATGTATATCAATAAATGTTCTCCACTTATGAAGTCATTTGCATTGTCCTGTGAAAATACTCAGTTACACTGTAAACTCACACAGCAGATCTCTAACCAGGTCTCGCATTACTGCAAGTAAACATAATTTATTATAATACTTTTTTGACTGTTCTGTTTTGCAAGCAATTAATTGGCACTGGAAAAGAGTTTGTTCCTTGTACTGTACCAACATTATGATGAACTGATCAGCTAGCCCTGCGCTAAAAGGATTTTACTTTGGGCCCTGAAGGAACTTCTCTGTTGGATTTTCTGTCCTTCATCTCAATGGGAATCAGAGGCTCTTTTAAGCGGGCACAGTGCAAGTTCCCCCTCTGTGAGACACAGAGTACTGACCTGAGCAGATGCATAAATACAGGGCTGCTGTAGTGTTTTGCCTGTGGGAAGTGCAAATGACAAGTCATTGCATATATGTTCAAAATGTGCTCTTTGGCAAGGATTTCAGTTAGGTTTCTTTGTTGTTGTTGTTGTTCTTGTTTTTTAAAGGAGAAGTTACACTGGGGTAAATCACAAAAGTGAGCAGATGAATTTGGACCATGCGGAGAAGCAATGGATTATCTCCCTATGGTTGGAGGGAAACGCAGCTCTCACATGGGCAGCACTGGCCTCTAGTCTAATTCCAAAGCGCCCAGAGCTGGGAGTGCTGGCTGCTCTCTCAGCTGTGCTGTGAGATGGGCAGGAGTTGCACACCCAGGCTCTTCTGTTATGTTTAGGAAAGCTTTACGTCCACAGGTAGTGCCCTGTTCCTCTAGGACTGTTGGCAAATGTTAATCAGAGCAGCCTCTGACTGCTCCTTAAAATAGGTAAATGGCTTTTATTTTCCATTTTCTACCCCCTGTGTTTTATTATAATTGCACTGAGTGATTCTGCAAGCAGGCAGCAGTAGGACTGGAAGTACTGTTTAGCTCCTTGCTTTCTTTCCTGCAGCATGAAAACAAAAACCTTTCTCACTGTAGCAGGAAAAACAAGTTACTGAGAAGATAACTTTGAATAGGTCAGTGTGTCTCTTGATAGTCTTAAAATACGAGAGGAGTCTACATAATGTAGGAAGCATGGGATAACACTCACTTTATTGCGTCTATAACATAAGCACTTATTCGTATACTCCACGCCCTTGGAAATGAATAGAACAACACTGAGTTTTTTGAGAAATTTCAGATAACATCCAAGGATGTTTCAGTGCTTCCAGAATTTGTTCATGACCTGACCAAATATCTTTTGAGTATAGTTGCGAGTTAGTATTCTAAACTGTAGAGAGTTAGAGGTTACACCAGTGGGGATCTCTGCAATAAAATAACTGTACGTATGTCTGCCCTGGTGACAAATCTTGTTAATGTTCATGGAAACAGATCTGCTCAGGGAGGATCAGTAGGATACATTTTCTGTTAGTTGTCATGACAACCATAAATCCGTGCTGCTGTATAGCAGCATGCTAATCCATCAAGTTTAATCCAGTTTCCAAATTAGATCATCACTACTGAGCTGCAAGATAGATAACAGCTGGTACCCATGGTCTTCATTCTGTTCTATCAAAATGGCCAGAGTCAAAGCAATGCACATGCAGTCTTCTAGGAAAGATGCAGCTTTACTACATGAAACAATTTGATGCTGCAACAGGAGTGTCTGAGTTGACTCATTGTCCTAAGCCTGAGATTGTCAAATGTTTATAAAGAATATTTGTTCTCTGTCTTAAGTCAAGATGTCACCTGTGTTTTAGAGATTGGATCGAAAGTCTTTAGTCCCTCGTTAAGATAAACCAGTTATTACACTGCGCAATAAATGCTGATGCTATCATGATTTCTGTGTTGCAGAATAAAGTATTTACTTTGAAGGAAATGAGAAAACTTGAGTATTCCCTGCAAAGCAAGAAGAAAATGCTTGGAAACTGATCTGGCAATGAAGAGTTCAGAGTTACTCCTAGTTTGTATTGATCCTCAGCTACATTGGCCTCATCTGTTATTCTGAAATTACTGCATTATTAGTTCCAGAGTTTTTGCAGCAGTTCACTGCGATATATTTGTGGACTCCTGTCAATGTCTGTGTAAGCTACCACGGAGCCAGGTAACAGGCACAGCTCATGTGCACACAGTGGCTTGGGATAGACACTGCATTTGTGTAAAATGGCAGGTCTCTCCTTGACAATAGGTCCACGTGTAGTGCTGTTTTTTGTACAGCATCATTAAAAAAATGTTGGTATTTCCTGTGTTTGGCAGGCAGTTATTGTCCTGGTTCTTATCCTATCACTACACTCCCCAAAACAGAATACCTCTTCATCTTTTCTGCAGCCCCATTAACTGGAAGGCCACAATGAGGTCTTCTCTGACCCCC